TATAGAATCGAAGGATCTGAATAGCTCAGTTGGAAGAGCAGTCGCCCGGCAAGCGAAAGGTCTCGGGTTCGATTCCCGATTCTGCGACTTTCGGATCTATATTTTCTCTCGCACTTTATTTCTTAGGGGGAATAGGGGATACATGGAATTAAAAATCTCTTGTAGAGATTATTCCAATTTTATATCTTGGCCGTGTCCAAGTAAAAATTTGGTGCCTTGTGCACAGGTATTTAATTCTAACGAAAAAATTTAGTTTCGTTTAGAATAACGCACTGTCATCCGCGATTTGGCTCTTATTGCCTATCTTATATATGTTAAATTTATATTTATATATTTTTTATATTTAATAAATTTTATATAATATATGCATATATGTAAAATATTCTCTCTCTCTCTCTCTCTCTCTCTCTCTCTCACACACACACACACACACACACACAACGGGGGCCAAATCTCTCAAATTGGTCTCATGATCAATTAGCCTGGATTCGCACCAGGGGCAAAGTCTGTGGTAATGTCAAACGAATTTAGCCTGGACTTGCACCAGGGGCAAAGTCTTTTGGTCGAGTCTACGAAATTTAGCACGGACTCGAACCAGGGGCAAAGTCTTTTGGTTCAAGTCTACGAAATTTAGCACGGACTCGAACCAGGGGCAAAGTGTGTCGGTAAGGGGCAAAGTCTATCGCACGAAGATGGCGGTCTCTTCTTTAGGCAGGCCTTTGGCGATCTGTCTATTAATCTGTGGTATGAATCGTAAGTCCAGCAATGTCGAAGATGAGAAATACAACACATGTATAAAGATTGAAAACATTTGAATTTGTGAGAAAAGAAAACTATATGTACATTAATCGATTATTGCAAGAAAATATTTTAGCATTTTAAGAAAACAGTACAATTTTGTATTTAAAAGTACAGATCAATTTCAAATTGTAAGTGCTTTAATAACTTTATGAAAATAAGTAAATTGTTTATTATGATAATATACTATAATAATAACTAAATCTAACATATATAATACATATCTAACATATATAATATATTAATGTATTTCAGAATTAATATACAAGACAAATATGGCTCAGGAGGATTGCACGAAGAAACAAAAACTTGATGAAAATTTTCCTGTTATAAACGAAGGGAAAGCTCAAATAGTAGTTACGAATAAAGAAGTCTTTTATAATCCTGTTCAAGAGTTTAATAGAGATCTTAGTGTAGCAGTATTAACAATATTTGTGCAAGACAGACGTAATGAAATGCTACAGAAAACCAATTTGAAGAAAGACAATAAAACTAATGCATTATGCGACATGGAGATAAATTTAGAGAGTCAGAAGGGAATCACTATATTGGAGGCTTTATCTGCAACAGGTTTGCGTAGCATACGATATGCCAAGGAAGTGGAAGATGTCCAACAAATTATAGCCAACGATATTTCTTCAAAGGCAGTGGACAGCATCAGACAAATGTTTTGTATAATGGAGTTGAAAATTTGGTAACTCCGCATCATGCGGATGCGACATTGTTGATGTATGAACGTAGACAAAATCGTTTTGATGCAGTTGATTTAGATCCGTATGGCTGTCCTTCAATATACCTAGATGGAGCGGTGCAGTGTGTAGCCGATGGTGGTATACTTTTGGTCACTGCTACTGATATGGCTGTACTAGCTGGCAATACTCCGGAAACTTGTTATTACAAATATGGAGCGATATCTATCAAGTCAAAGTCTTGTCATGAAATAGCATTACGGATATTACTCCAATGCATTGCATCTTATGCAGGACGATATGGGCGATACATAGTACCATTATTATCTATAAGTAGTGATTTTTATATAAGAGTATTCGTCAAAGTCTTCACAGGCCATAGTAAATGTAAAGAAAACTCAACTAAAATAGGAATGCTATATCGATGCAACGGATGTGAAAGTATGAACTTTCAACCATTAGCAACAAAAAGATCCTCCAACAGTTATAAATTATCAAATGCACCTTCAGTAGATAAACTATGCAAGCATTGTCAGTATCGGCAACACATAGCAGGTCCAATATGGTTAGGTCCTTTACATGATCAAGGATTTGTATCACGATTGTTATGCAATTTAAGTAATATAGAATTAGGCACATCCAAAAGAATGGAAGGTGTCTTGACCATGATACACGAGGAATTGGACATTCCGCTATATTATAATCTGGATCGCTTGATGTGCATAGTTAAGTGTAATGTTCCATCAATATTGAAATTTAGATCAGCATTATTAAACGCAGGATATAAAGTATCGTACTCTCATGCGAGTAAAACCTCTATTAAAACAGACGCACCAAATGACGTGATATGGGATATTGTGCGTGCTTGGGAAAAGGAGCATCCTGCCAAACGGGAAAAGCTGACAAATAGTCCGGCTGCGCATATACTTAATGCATCGTCTACGAGTGTCATTTCTTTCGCAGAACACCCCTTAGCAAATCCAATTTCTCGACAAAAACATTTGTCACGATTTCAACAAAATCCTACTGTAAATTGGGGACCAGGAGTTCGTGCAAGGATCGGAGTAGATCTTGAAGATAAAGTGGAAGAGTCGAAAAAAGTGAAAAATCAAAATAAAAATAGTAAAAAGAAATTAACTACTGTAGAATAATCAGTAATACAATAATAAATACAAAAATTTCTTGTAATTGTATGCTCGAGGTTTATATCTCAATATAATTCAGAAAGTTATTTTAATTTTTTTTATTTGACACCTCAAATGCAGGAAAACTACGATGTTATACATATAAATAATTTTTGTGATTAGCTTCGTATAGGATCATTATATATTGACAAATAAATGACGAAAAAATTAAGATAAATTATAACTGAAAGTAATATGTAAGTTACATATTTTGCATATTTTTGGATCTTCGTACACTATACTATTAAAAATTGTAGTTTTTGCATTGTTGTATGCAATAAATGTATTTTATTTTTATAATATATAATATATTTTTTTACAAATTTTGTAACGTTATTTATGCATACTTTTAAAGCGTGTGTATTATTTTATGTCGATTGCAGTATTCAGATTTTAGTAAAAAATATTGGAAAGAATTGTAAAATGTATCTTTTAAATTACATGATTATCGATTTATTTTTCAAAATTTAAATTGTCTAAATAAAAATTTGGGTTTCAAAAAATATTATAGACATATTATTACAATATTAGACATACTTATAGACGTAAGAACATTGTCGTTTGATTGATACATTATTCATTATTTCAGTAACTTAGAGTGTACATTATATATTCATTATTTGATGTCTAAAGAAAAAAGAAAAATTAACATAACATTTTTCGAATTTATATATGGTCTAATTATATTTAATTATAATTAAATATAATAAGGATAATTACATAACACAATTTTTTAGAGTTGAATTTTTATTTCAATTTGGATAATCTCTAATCTCTCAAATTAAACAGATAGGCTACGTTTACCATATTACATGACTTGGCATAAGATATAACGGAAGTACTTTCTGATACTGTATCACTGCTAGTCACCCCTATTATCCGTATAATTAATTTTCGCAAAAAACATTAATTTTTTAAAATAAAAACTCCGTTTATCTTGGACAATATGTACTGGAATACATATTAGAACTTGATAGGTGATAGATAGAAATAAGTATAATTATTTTGTATAATTTTATGGACAAATCTTCTCTTTATAAAAACTTTAAATAAGAGATAACATTTAATTCGTTAAAATTGCAATTGCTTTACATAGCTTATGATAGATCAAATTGTGAATTTTTGTAATCGAAAATTACACATTTTAATTGAACATTACACATTTTAAAGAAATCTCTATTTAATTTTTTTTCATGTATTTTGCTTTTTTATATAATAATTTTCTGCTTTTGTTCACATAATATTTTTAAAGAATACTTTTTTTCTCTCCAAATATTCAAATAGCTGTATACATTTTTTTCTATTTGAAATTATATTATTTTTAAATAATTCGAAGGAATCGTCGAACAAACTGTGATGCTATCGAGGTTTGATATCGATATTTCTATTGTGCTTATATTATACATGAAAAAAATTGACAAAATTTCCTTTTCTCTCTTTCTTTTTTAAGATTACAAGGAGAATCGTAAAGAATAAGAATTAGAGAAATCTCTATCACTACGTATAAAATACATTCGCATTTTGTTTTATATCTGAATCTCCATCTTCATTAAACATATGAATGTAATCGATTAAGTTTATGGAATATATTGCATAATATATATGGATGCATTTGGTGGAAAACCTTGAATCGGTTACGTGCAATCTTTATATTTGATACATTGGTCTTATTTTTCATGATAAATCTAATATCTCCGAATACTCGGCTTTTATGTACATATAGTGAATGACTCTTCAAATATTGTATAATCGCAATCAGTCTAGATAAAATTTGATGTTACGCACATATCATTGAGATATATATATATTTAATATAGAAGCGTGATTTGCAATATCGTAATTTATATTACAAGCATAATACATTTTGGATTCGAGAAAATTAAAATCTCTCTTGCTGATGTTGTAAATATTTTCGAAAAATTGAAACATGACAAAGGGTTTATATATCAAAGAAAATACAATCAAATATTTATAAACATGAAGATTATCTCAACATTTAAAAAATATTCTATTTGCTTATTTATTTAAATAAAAATTTTAAAAGATGTTAAAAAGTATTTTATGTTTCCATTTGCTAAATTCTTGTATGTCATAATATTACGTATCTATTTGTAATGCGGCATTATCTAATCTGAAACTACATATATGTATGTGTATATATTGTATATCTATTATTTATAGCTAATCATTGGAAAAGTTAAAAAGAAACAAGTAATATAGCGTTATCACACATTTTAATATAATTTTTTCTTGATTTACTTAATCATGTAATTGATAGAAAACAGAATGGATGGAGGTGGTACGTTCTGATTATGTAATAGCTACCTATAAATAGCATATGTGAATGTATTATGAGAAACAGTTTAGCTGCAACCTACAACGTAGAATCATATACAGTTTTATTAAAAGTAGGTGTGTTTCTATATTGTGCCGGTAAATATAATCTTTATTGGTCTTATCGTAGAGACACCTAGCGAAATGTAAATTATCGTAAAGAATAATTATATTTCTAATGTAATAATAGTACAGCGTAATAATAGTACATTATTATTATTATTATTAAGTGTATTTTTTTGTAATCATTTTTCCAATTTCTGAAAAATGTCGATTAATGCTAAAAGTTCTTAATATTATTAAAATAAGATTTATTCGTGTCGTTTATAAGACTAATCTTCTTTCTTCTAAATATCTTTTGTCACATTTTTCTTTTTCGCGAACCATTAGTTTAAATTGTTTAAAACATTTGTTTAATAAAAGTAGCTCCCTTAATTATATTTTTTTTAAATTAATAATTTAATATAATTTACGTAACTAATTATAATAATTTTCTTATCAATGAAAAAAAGGTTTTAAAATATTTAATTATAAGCGAAAGAAGAATTAATTGTTAATATCATTATTTCATTATTCTGTGGCGCTAATAAATACCACAGAAAACCCGAGAAAATTTTTATTTAAATAAATAGGCAAATAGAATATTTTTTAAATGTTGAGATAATCTTCATGTTTATAAATATTTGATTGTATTTTCTTTGATATTTTGTTTTAATTGTTACCGAAGATAAAAGGACGGTTAAAGAAAGTCGAAGTTTCGAGGAATCAAAACAGTGAAAAAGTGACGAACTACTTAGGCTTAGGTAGAGATAGGATATTATGTTAGAGTCAGAAAGTCATCGACACATGTATATTCGTGTGATCGCATGCGATCAGTAATCGAATATTTGCGAAAAGACTGTATTTGATAACCGGAGAAGTGTGTCACGGTGTGTAATAAATCTGACAAATTAATAATTAAATAATTAAAATATTCATTAAAAGACCTTGTGTTCCTTTATAAATAAATAAATAAAAATTAATAATTGACTACAATTTACATATCTACGATATCAAGTGTTTCATACTTAATAGCGTTTAGTTATTTTGTAGATGTAGTAGGAGAATCTTTGTCTCGTAGTGCTTACTTTCACTAACAATAAGAATTTTATTCTTCCTCTATTTCAGATTATTTCTACTGTTGATCATAATGGCTGAAATTCCGACAGTCATGTTCTCCAATGGATATAAAATGCCGATGTTGGGTCTTGGAACTTATAAAGTAAGTCTTTTGTAAATTATTGTGCATATGACAGTGATAGAAGATTGTATGTAAGAGTTATGTTACAAAAAACAACGTCATTGTGTTTGAAATTTAAGTAAATGTATAATGAAATTATTAATGAAAACTATTGAGATAAAACCCTTCGTACGAATAAATTAATAAATTAAAGGAAACAAGTCTTTTCGAAATTTTGTTGTCGATTAAAATATTATATAGTTATATTTTCTTTTTTTTTTTTAAACAAATAGTCCCAAAATAGAGAGGCAGCAAGAGCTATTAAAGAAGCAATAGATCTTGGATATCGACATATTGATACGGCTGCTTTTTATGCCAATGAACAAGAGATCGGGGAAGCTATTCGTGAAAAAATCGACGATGGTACTGTAACCAGAGAAGAGCTATTTATTACTACAAAGGTAAGATCAATGCACAATTAAATATTTGTACACTTTTATTTAAAATCTTTAATATTTTACTATATATCTACAATTCTATAAACTAAAATCGTTTTTTTTTCAATTTCAGTAAATGTAAACATTTAAATTAATTAAAGTATTTTTCTTTGTAAATTTAATTAACATTTTTATTATTTTATTCCTTTCCCAGCTGTGGAATACATATCACAAAGAAGAGCTTGTTGTTCCGGAATGCAAAAAATCATTGGCCAAACTTGGTTTAGATTATATAGATCTCTATTTAGTTCATTGGCCATTTGCTTTCAAGGTAAATATAATATTGATATAAAAAATGAAAATCAAATAGAAATGTACATATTTCACTTAAACTTTCTGACTACAAAGCTGTTTTAAAAGTCAAATAATAGTCATTTAAATCTGAGACGTGAAAATCGTTCCATAATTATTTAAATTTAAAGAAAAAATGTTGAAATAAAAATTAAAATTTGAAAAAATGTGCAAATTCTAACAAGTTATGTAAAGCGGAGCACGCAGTTTTTTAGCATATGTGTCTTATCCCTTATTCATCTAAGAGATACTATATGTTTTTTTCAGGAAGGAGATGATTTACTACCTACTGATAAAAATGGAAAATTTATTGAATCAGATGTCGATTATTTGGAAACATGGAGAGGAATGGAAGAATGCGTTCGCCAAGGATTAACTCGCAGCATTGGGATCAGTAATTTTAATTCTGAACAGATAACCCGTCTACTTGAATCAGCTATAATTCCGCCGGTTAATAATCAGGTATGCGTTAAATATATTTTCTAATAAAAATTCTAATTACGTAAAGAAAATGTTAATTTCGATAATCACTTAAAAAAACCTACAAAAAATTATTGAACCTTTCATCTTTTTTAACAATGAAATATGTCAAAAGTAATAGTGTGCGAATAATCCAACTTGAACTGTGGTACAATTTTATCTTTATATTTTTTTCGATAAATCATCTTTTCAATTCTTATACATATGTATATCTGTATATCTTATTATTGCGCACATATAATATTATTATTGCAACATATTTTAGAAACATCTAAAATATGTTTTAGAAGCTTTAACACTACTGTGTTATACTATAGAGAAAATATACCAAATATATATTACATTAAAATATATTATATTAATATTTATTACCTATATATAAATATTTTACATATTTTATAATGCTGTAAGATTTAATTTTAATGTAAAAATTTTGGTCATAGATTGAAATTAATATAAACGTAAATCAAGAGAAATTAGTAGAGTTTTGCAAGAAACACAATATTACGGTAACTGGTTATTCTCCTTTGGGACAACCCGGAAATTCATCAGGTATTGGAAACAAATTAGATAGTCCTGTGGTGGTGAACATTGCAAAAAAATACAATAAGACTCCGGCACAAGTAGCGCTTCGATATGTGGTATGTAATAAAAAAAATTGATAAAACATATGTTTTGCGTTAATTGACAAATTTTGAATGTATATATATTTTATTATTTTTATAGTTTCAACACGGAGTTGCACCGATACCGAAATCTGTAACTAAAAGTCGAATTAAAGATAATATGGAATTTTTGATTTTACACTGACATCCGACGAAATGAATGCTATCCGAAAACTCGGCACTGGAGACAGAGTAGCAGGCTTTGCTATGTAAATATTATTATTATTATAATGTATTAGATTGTAAGATGATTTATATTATTTATCTCTTTCCATGAATGCGAGTACTTTGATCAATTTATTCAAGTTCAAATTTTTTAATTAATATTTCAATTAAATAGCATTTTTATTTTTGAAAAATTACATATTTAAAAATAGTAAGCATAAAAAATCTGAACACTTGTATCTGTATGAGACTTATTATAAAATGTTCGCAGTTTAATACTTTTTTGTTTCTGAATATAACTGTATATATAATAACTTTTTTATTTTTATGTTTCAGAGTTAAGCATTTCAAGTATTATCCTTTCAACATTCCATTTTAAACCAATATGAAAAAGAGACAGATCTTATTCCATAAAAAGGATTATCCATAAGAATAAAATTAAAAAAAGCTTTATCGAATAAGTACATATATATTTCTTAATTATATTTTAACATTTTAAATATATATTTTATAAATTATATATTTTATAATTCAAAAAAATTTTCAAATTAGCTTTAATATATAGTCTTTATTCTTCTTCCCATTAACCTAGTTTAAATAAAATATATAATACCCGAAAGAGATAATTAAATATTATTAATTTAGAAGATGTGAATTAATTTTAATAGTATTTTTCAAAATTTATAGTCAGATAACGTTATAAATTTATCAAAGTTAAGATAGAAAGTAACAGGATACCAGTTGTAATACACCATAGATAATTATCATAGTAGTATCCTCTTTCAAAGAACATATGTTTTCACGGCGGTACTTGATACTTGCTCGACCCTTAGTATACCATATATAGTCAATTACAATTAATGGACGCTGTGAAAAGTTTCAAGGTCTAGGCTAAGAATTATTCATGCGAATTTTTGTTTTATTTGTTCGAGGTTTTCGAATTTTTTCCATTATACTAAAATCATGATAAAGCACGACTAAATCTTGAAACTTTTTAATGTTTGAAATTTCATGAGTCACAATGTTTAACACAAATGGTGATAAAAATTTTAAAACGTAGTTGTAAAGTAGTATGATATAATGTAAAATCTTAAAAATAACTTATTTTAATTACATTTATCGTCACGTATATTATATATATATATATATATATATATATATATATATATGTAAAATATAATTATATATTACAATTGTTTTAGAATTTGGCATGGAATAAATTAAAATAAATTTAGAATAAATTAAATACGTATACATATAATATTAAATGTATTCTAAAAAAGGAAACAGTAATTTTGATAATATTGTATGATTGATAGTTTCTATAAATTATAAATAATCAAATATTTAAAATAGGTGAAATAAGATAAAATGTCATGTTGAAAATGAAGAAAAGACTAGGAGAAAAGAGATATAATATATAGTGTCACGATTTACATAATTTAAAAAAATAATATTTTTTTCTCTACAACTAAGTATGATATATCGCGGGTATCTAATCAGTACATTATAATAATGATAATTATTCGAAAACGGCAGGATATATATATATATATATATATATATATATATGTATATTAATAATTAATATTCATGTCATATATATATATATATTAATCATTAATATTCACAATTATTATCACAATTCTATCGGCAGTGTTATGCTTAAATTACTAAAATATAAAATTAGCTATATATATATAGATATAAATTAAAATCATAATTTATCTTTTATTTTAAATATATCTAGATAAAAGATACAATAATTATATGGCGATTCATCTAGATAACTTTCAGATAATTTATTTTTTATTTAGATAATAGCAAATATTGCTTATTGAGATATAACAGAATCAAAATAAAAAATTCCAAATCTTTATAGAATAATTTAACTATACAGAAAATATGATTTACTTCATGTGATATAAATTTATTTACATAATAATTTCGGTGATTTTAGAAAATGATATATATATGTATATAATACTGCTACACTGTTGACATCAGTTACTGTGAATAAAATAATTGTTCTCGCACAAGGAATCATCAAGGGCTTGATTCATTGCTCCAAATATATGTTTCCTGAATGATCGTTGTAATTTTCCACAGCGCTGGATTGCCATAAGAGAATGCATAGCCACCACTACCACAGATTAATAGACAGATCGCCAAAGGTCTGGATGAAGGAGAGACCAGCATTTCTCACTGATTTCAGCGCCATATCGTGGTAGTGGTCAATGCAGTAACTATTAATACGTTCCTAAGATGAGCGTCTCATGCTCATGAACTCGTCCGGCGGCATGTACGAGATTTATCTTTTCGTAGCGTTCGCGTATTTCGGAAAGGACAGAATTTTATGATGTTATAAATAAATAAATAAATAAAATATTAACCTGACCTATTATAATTATTTTTTAATAAATGTTTCATTATTATTATCATCTAAGTCTAAGTCGTTTAATTAATTTTTAGTTTTTTAATAATTAATTTAATTTATTCTAATCATTTTAATATGTGAAAAATACTAATACGTATACGTTTTATAATGAATTAATATATTTCGAGAGTCGAATTATATATTTTTAATAATATAAAAGTGTTCAAAAATTATATTTGACTTTTAATTTTAATTATTTTAGCAAAGAGTTCCGAAATCTCTTACACACATAATAGGGATTTTGTTCATCCATATAATTCGCAATTAAGTATATATGTTAATTATTAATTTTAATAAAATACAAAATTAAAATTAAAGGTCAAATATAATTTTTGAACATAAATATATTTAATTCGTTATAAAACGTATACCCGTGATAGTATTTTTCTCGTACAAAAATAATTAGAACAAATTAAATTACTCATAAAAAAATTAAAAATAATTAAATAATTTATATTATATATGATAATAATAAAACATTTTATAAAAAAAACAGATTCAATAAATATAAGTATATATATAACATGTACTTATATTTATTGAATCTGTTTTTTAATAAAATGTTTTATAAGCTTAGAAAACTTGACTTTGACGTAACTAGCAAATTTTATTTAATTATTTCACGACGGTTTGACGTAATAAAATGTTTTATTATTATTATATAAAATATAAGTTTAAATTCTTTAAGGGGTTATACCTACCTGCAAGGTCTGAAAAACACGTATTTTTGGGAATTTTTTTTTTAAATATTTGAAGTGCTTTGGAAAGGAACATTTATGTTTTCAAATATATATATTTCAAAGATTATTTAGTATTTTTTTTATTGCAAAATGTTGATAAATAAAAAAGATATGCTTAATCTTCCAGAAGCAGTTTTTTGAAAAGCGTTTTGCGGTGACCACTCTAACTTTGAACTGGTTTACCAGAAATCAAAAACCCGAGAAATTTAGTTAATATATAAGATTATCTAGTGCCCGATCGTTCATTTTTTTGAAAAATTAATTTGCGACAAAATGGCGGCTGTTCAAATTTGAAGGTATGATTTTGCTACCAAAAATTCGCTCGTTTTTTTATTATTAAAAAAAATACGCAACGAAAAAACAAAAGCCACGATCGGGCACTAGATTTTTTAGTATTAAAGATGTCTACCAAATTTTATTTCAATCGATGCAGCGGTTTTCGAGATATTTTGGTCACCGATTTTAAAAATGCTGTTTTGAGAAAAACGCATTTGAAGTTTCAAATTAAGTTCACAACCAAATAATATATTTATATATATATTTATATATATTTATATATATTATTTATTATATATATTTTGGCTTTGTATAGAGACCGCTTTTGTCCGCGTCGCAGCTGCCGTTCGATACCTGAGACCCGTTTCTGTACCCTGCTTCTAAACAGCAGGATACGTTCACACCAGTATACCTTTAAACTCACATAACTTCGTTAATTTTTGTCGAATCGACTTGAAATTTGCAGGGAATATTTTTGAAAGTATGTACTTTAAGAAAATATCAAAATCCAAAAATCGATTTTTTTGAAGTTTGCAGATAGGTATAACCCCTTAATTAATTTTTAATCTTTTATGATTAATTTAATTTACTCTAATTATTTTTGTACGAGAAAAATACTATTATGGGTATACGTTTTATAATTAATTTAATATATTTGTGTTTAAAAATTATATTTGACCTTTAATTTTAATTTTTATTTTATTAAAATTAATAATTAACATATATACTTAATTGCGAATTATATGGATGAAAAAAATCCCCATTATGTGTGTAAGAGATTTCGGAACTCTTTGCTATAAAATAATTAAAATTAAAAGTCAAATATAATTTTTGAACACTTTTATATTATTAAGAATATATAATTCGGTTCCCGAAATATATTAATTCATTATAAAACGTATACGTGATATTATTTTTCTCATATAAAAATGACTAGAATAAATTAAATTAATTATTAAAAAACTAAAAAGTAATTAAACGACTTAGACTTAGATGATAATAATAATGAAATATTTTATTAAAAAAAGATTCAATAACTAGTAGGTCAGGTTATAATTTTTTATTTATTTATTTATAACATTATGAGCTATTAAGCTCATCATCTCGTTCGCTCTCTGTCTTGCTTTCATTCGGCAAGTCACAAACGATATATGATACTCGTATGTTCCTACTTCAACTCTCGAGAATCTGAAACAAACGAAACTCGTGTCCAATATACAGGGTGTCCGGTAACTAACAGACCAATGATTACAAATGGATTCTTTGGTCAATTTGGGAACGATTTTTCCTCAGCGAAAATGTCGAAAAAGGTCATCATTTTTTACAACTTTCCAATCTTTGTCATTATGTATCTTTATAACTAAGTCTTAAATTAAAATTTTATTATAGTAAACTCTACCTGAAATTAACTGAAGAATGTAATTATGTTAGACTTTTAACTCCAAAACGTTTAGTTTTCAAAAAACCTATTTTTTTCAATCGCTTATAACTCGAAAATTATTGACTTCTCAACATTTTTGCTAAGGAAAAATCGTCTCCAAATTGGCCAGAGAATCCGCCCTTAATCATTGGTCCGTTAGTTACCGGACACCTTGTATATATTATATAAAAGTGTATAGCACGTCAGAAGCTTGTGAGCTTACAGCGATAAGTAAAAACAATTGCGTATTTATTTCATTGCGTTTATTTGTTTAAACGCGCGCTTTAATTTTTCCAACGTTTTTGCCTGTTTATATTTTAAAGGTCCTCTCTTCTAAAAATCTTGTTTTAAAGATCCTCTCCGCGAGCAAAATTCGAAAACATAAATTATTTAATATTTTTACTTTATTATTTGTAAATCCTCGGTAATTTCAAAATTTTTCTATTTGAAAATTATTAATTTTCTATTGCCAATTAATTTTATCACAGACTTTACTCTTACTCCCATTGCACTTTCGTTTGCGGTTTTCAGTATACGATTTTTTATCGTAGTTACTGCAAATTATTATTGTGAATTATACTTGTGCAGTGATTTGAAGAATTTACAATTTCGTTGAAATTGTTGATTTTTCAAAAAAATTACGAGATTCGCGGAAATTGCGTGCTTTCTTGGCATTTTCCGTTCGCGGCAGGCGGTTTATTTTTGATTGTTGCAAGTGTTTTTGTTTTTTTTTTATTAAAATAGATAATAATAATGTGAAATAAATCACGATATTTGACAGATGTGCATATATATAGAAATTGTAATAATAATAATATTATATCATAAAATTGTAAATTGTTTCAATTTTTTATAGACTGCGATAAAAGATTTTACATTTGGATAAGAAACTGCGGTAAGTAAAAATATAAAATTCTTGAAAACGTACCAAAAATATTTGATAACGTAAAAAGGTGAACTTTGAAAAATAAGGAACTTAAAAATTGCACTAATAAATGGGCTATATGTGAGCCGTGCGCGGATGTAAGGTGTGTTATATCGAAATTTAATTAATAGAATTGAGAATTAATCCCAATTTTAAGTCTTACAAATGTCCAAGCTAATTTTTTGTACCTCGTGTACATTTTTGAAAGTTATATCGAAAAATTAAATTTCAATATGCGTCTTACATCTCACATTTCGCATACGGCTCACATATAGCCTATTTATCTCTTATACTTTATTTCAACTCTTATAGAAATTTATTACTAGTAACGCCAATTTATCACTTATTTCGAGTAATTAATCACTTTTATTTCGAATACTTAAATTACTGTATATTATAGTATTTTAAATACTCAAAATAAGTGATTAATTGGCGTAGTGATAAATTTCTACAAGAGAATAAGGAGCCTTTAAATTCTTAATGTAAAAAATTTCAAGTAATTTTCTTTAATAAAATTTAATTAAAAAATTTAATAAAAAATTTTTGAACACTGTGTTATATCACATTTAAAATTGTGATTATTTCAATAAAAAAACATTTTATGTGTAAAAAATATATTTTTTATATTTAATAAATTTTATATATATATATGCATATATGTAAAATATTCTCTCTCTCTCTCTCTCTCTCTCTCTCTCACACACACACACACACACACACACACACAACGGGGGCCAAATCTCTCAAATTGGTCTCATGATCAATTAGCCTGGATTCGCACCAGGGGCAAAGTCTGTTGGTAATGTCAAACGAATTTAGCCTGGACTTGCACCAGGGGCAAAGTCTTTTGGTCGAGTCTACGAAATTTAGCACGGACTCGAACCAGGGGCAAAGTCTTTTGGTTCAAGTCTACGAAATTTAGCACGGACTCGAACCAGGGGCAAAGTGTGTCGGTAAGGGGCAAAGTCTATCGCACGAAGATGGCGGTCTCTTCTTTAGGCAGGCCTTTGGCGATCTGTCTATTAATCTGTGCCACTACAAACAAAAAGTCATGCGAATTAGCTTGTGTTAGTGATGCACTGTTAATACATTGCGTGAATGTGCGTATCAATATGATATCGTTACGCAAAACCCTCATGACGCAATAATAAGATATAAGATATCTAATAAAGAGTATATAAAAGATGTCAAAACTGCTGAGATGTTACATTTTTTATATAAAAATGATATAGATATATTGATATATATACAATATAACATATATATATATATATATATATATATATATATATGTTTCAATTGCAAAAATTAAAGGGCAATTTATTAAAAACAAATAAATATATTTTTGTTTTTAATATAAATTAAATAATTAAATAAATTATATTTATTTGTTTTTAATAAACTTTTGAACATTATATATAAAAGAATAATTTTATTAAGAATTTAAATTTCGACCTATTTCACGGAAATGAGTATAATTTTGATTTGGGAAATATTTGCGGACGTGTCGTATCATACACAGAGACATCTTTGTAAAGACCGGTCTTGTTTGTGAGCTGGTTTTGGTGGGGACGCTTATACTGCAATCACTGCGCAGCATCGTTCGGGATCGGTTGTGTCTGCGTGAGAGCTCGTAAGATTCATTTAAACTGTTTTTTGCGAAGACCAGTGCGTGATATCTGTGTAAAATGGCCTTGAACGCACCCAAGTTAAAGTTCTACAACGGCAACGAGGTACCAGCCTTCGGCTTGGGCACTTGGAAGGCAAGTATTTCTCTCTTTTCATCTCGTTATGTCCTAGCGAGCCGGATATCTTTTGATGTCTGATGATGCCGGCATAGCCCGATGATTTTATCATTGGATCGAATTTCTAAGATTCTTTCGTGAAAAATAATCTACACACACAGAAAGAGTTTATACAATTGGAATTTATTATTTTTATTTGAAGCGATAGCTCTTTACATCAATATTCACGAGTTAGATCTGTTTTCCATTAAAAGAGATAAGAAACAAGGAAGTATGTAAATATAGATTTGTAGGAACTTGCCAATATGATATAAGATACGGCTTGTTATTTTTGCACTGGTTATTATGCTACTACATTTTTATTGAAGAAAATACAAAAGTGCAAATATGTTACGCACAATCTACCTACTACATAATTATATAATTGATCGCATCATTCCCTTGAAATTTGAATAACAACAATTGCAATGTTCATGAGTTATAATATGTATTATTAAAGTAATATAATTTCAAAATGAATGATAAAATTTATATTTTACAATAATATATATGCATGAAATCCTAAATGCGAATTAATTTTCTTAATTATAACAAAAATCTTATTATCTTTACTTACTCTAACACAAAAGTAAAATTAAATATTCTCATCTCATAGAAATCTTTCTTAAGAAAAAAAATTTCAAGATTATCAAAAACTTTATTTTAATTTGACTCAATTTTATTTCAGTCAAAACCAGGTGAAGTTACCCAAGCTGTAAAAGATGCTATTGACATCGGCTATAGACATATTGACTGCGCTCTTGTTTATGGCAATGAGAAGGAAGTTGGCCTTGCTATTCGAGAAAAAATAGCAGAGGGTGTCGTGAAGAGAGAAGATCTGTTTATTACCACTAAACTATGGAATACTTACCATAAACCCGAGCTAGTTGAACCAGCCATCAAGAAATCTCTAGCTAATTTGGACCTTGATTACATAGATCTTTATTTAATCCACTGGCCAGTCGGATATAAAGAAGGAGGACCTGATTTTCCTACAGCTTCTGATGGTACCATTATCTTGAGCGATGTAGATTATGTGGATACTTGGAAGGCTATGGAAGCAGTGTTAGCTAAAGGCCTGACGAAAAACATTGGAATTAGTAATTTCAATTCTGAACAAATTACCAGATTACTTAAGAATGCATCAGTTAAACCCGTTACAAATCAGGTAAATTAAAGATAACAATTGAAGGAAACTGAAAGAGATTAATTCTCAATTCAATATAATTTAATATAATTGCATTATTATATTGAATTTTTAAAATAAGATTATCTTTAAGTGAAAGTTTGATCTAATGCATGTTAACGAGATTTTGTTTTTAATTTATAAAATTATATAATATATATATATATATATATATAAAATTTATATAAATTTATATAATAATTTTATCATAATCATAATATAATCAACGACATTTTCTAGAGTTATTTTCATTATGGATATCTTAATTATTATACTTTTATATTATAGATTGAATGTCATCCATACTTAACACAGAAGAAATTGTCAGATTTCTGCAAAGAAAAGGGCATTCTCATTACTGCATACAGTCCACTCGGATCACCAGACAGACCATGGGCCAAACCAGATGACCCAATATTGCTGGCAGATAAGAAATTAATTGAGCTTGGACAGAAGTACAATAAGACACCTGCGCAAATACTTCTACGTTATCAAGTATGCTACATTTTCTCATAAATCACAATATATTAAATATAATTGCAAACTTTTAAGTTGTATTTTAAAACCTATATATTATTGATATGTTAATATAAAATTTAATTTTAATAATTATTTTTGCAGTTGGATCGTGGCCATATTGTAATTCCTAAATCAGTCAACAAGTCACGACTTGCTCAAAACAGTGAGATATTCGACTTTAAACTTGCACCTGATGATATTGCATATATTGACAGCTTTGATTGCAATGGACGAGTTTGTCCATTACTGGGGTAAGATCTCATTACTATTTGTTTATCATTATTAGAGGAAGATATTTCATATCTCTAGATCGTAATATGGGGGCATATATAGAATATATCAATTAGAATTAGTACTTCTATGTATTTCAAATTGCGCTATATATTAATATTTTTTAAGAGTTTAACTAGGCTCTGTAATATATAAATATAAATTTAACATATATAAGATAGGCAATAAGAGCCAAATCGCGGATGACAGTGCGTTATTCTAAACGAAACTAAATTTTTTCGTTAGAATTAAATACCTGTGCACAAGGCACCAAATTTTTACTTGGACACGGCCAAGATATAAAATTGGAATAATCTCTACAAGAGATTTTTAATTCCATGTATCCCCTATTCCCCCTAAAGAAATAAAGTGCGAGAGAAAAATATAGATCCGAAAGTCGCAGAATCGAAGTCTCGCACTTTATTTCTTTAGGGGGAATAGGGGATACATGGAATTAAAAATCTCTTGTAGAGATTATTCCAATTTTATATCTTGGCCGTGTCCAAGTAAAAATTTGGTGCCTTGTGCACAGGTATTTAATTCTAACGAAAAAATTTAGTTTCGTTTAGAATAACGCACTGTCATCCGCGATTTGGCTCTTATTGCCTATCTTATATATGTTAAATTATATTTAATATTTTTTCTTTTTTATTTTCAGCGCCAATCACAGTCCTTATTATCCTTTCAGCATTCCATTTTAAGTAATTAAGTAAGTGAGCAAGTAAAAATTAGAATTAAAATTATTTTCTCCATATGTAAGTTCGAGATTAATTTATATATGGAACAAACCAAGAGAATTTAAAATTCATGTATTATTATTATTAAAAATTAGAAGTCGATATGATATATCTATATGTATTTCATTAAATTTGTTACATTAAATATATTTTTTTTATTGTTAGTGCTCTATCAATTGCTTTGTGTGCACCATGTTATAATACAGGTATATTATTTTTCATATATATATTTAATAAATTTTATAATTTTATATTAAAAATTGCAAAATAACATCGTTATTTTGCAAAAATATGAAAATTTTTTCTGAATTAATTACAAAATTTGTAAAATTGTATCTTAAAATAAAAATATTTTCACAACATAAAATGACTTTATATACTGTACATGTTTGATTAAATGATTGATATTTAACTGTTGAGATATTTATATCGATAAATTTTTGCTGATATTAATCATATCGATAAATCGTCGCAACCGCAAGTGCAACATTCGCAAAATACATCGTCGCTATCGCTGTCTACTTCCGATTCCGAACATAGCAAAGTCACTGATCGACGAGTCTTCTCCAACGACGGCACAGTACAATCATCACAGGGTGCAGTCGATGATTCACGTATGCACTTTTCTTCACATTTGCAAGTATTAATTTGTTTGCATGCAGCAGGAGTCTTGCACTCGTTGCATGTCTTACCGAGTTCACACGATACAGAAGATTGTGTTAATCGTTTGAGCGATCGTATATCTGAAATTTTTAATGTACGTATACCTTTGCATTTATTAATTTTAACGTGAAGAAGAGAATATTCAAAAATTTCTGTTTTTATTAATTATATTTATATATTTATTAATTATTAATTTTATATGTAAAATATTCCAGGAAAATTTATGCGATATAGAGAATAAATCAAAAGGCGAATACGTACTTATCTTCGAGGTGATACTGTATAGAGATTCGCAAGAAGCATTCGCCGATTCGTAAGGAGATTTGGATTTGAATGAGATTTGTTGACAAGATTTGCAACATACTTTATAACCATGAGGTTTGATTATACGATTGTCTAGCGCAATGCAGCACGAAGGGTATAATTTTTGGTGTCCTTTAAACGATTCTTTCAACGTTTCCTCGTAACCGGTCAACACCCCTGATGTCGCACACGAGCAACAAGTCTTCTAAATCGGAAGAAACGCATAAAATTGTAGAAGAGAATCTATCTTATGTGACACACATACATTTCTTCTACTCACTCGTCCTTTATCTTTGGGAATATATTTTCTCTTTGTCACATACGCATCGTGCTCGTGATTTTTCAGCGGAGACCACAGTCTACTATTCTTCCCTGTTTCCGTCGTCTTTCGACGTTGAAGCTTCTTGCAGGATAGTAGTTTGCTCATCTGTCGTCTATAAGTCATTTCCTTGTTCTCGAGCCCCTTGATGCAGTTCTTCAACTTCAATTCCTCTTCGGCGAGTTGACGAATTTTTCTCAAGCATATCAGATCATCGGAATGAATGGAGTGTAGGCTGGGTGTAGTGTACTTGGTCACTTCATCTCGTAATTTTACCAGTCTCTCTTCCATCTCCTTGTTAGCCAGCTCCAAGGATTCCAATTCCATGCCAGTTTCTTCCAATTTCACATCTGCGTCTATGATCTTATCCTATATAATATACAGTAGAAAAATTTGTCTTCATGTTAAAAACGGATTATGTTAAAATTGTTGTGTTAATTGAACTTAAATGTTAAATTATTAAAACAATGAAAAAAGATGTAAAAATAACACAATGTACATCTATTTTTAATTTTACACAATAAATATGTTCTGTTTCATTAGTGATAAGATTCATCTATTAAAATTTATAGAAAAAAATGTTGATTTTTTATTTTATAATATAAGCGGGGATGATAAAATTTAAAATTAACATATTCTGATTTAATTTTTACATTAAAACTGTTAATTTTCCACAAAATTTATTTTAAATTACTTGAAGTTTTGTATTTATTTTGTGTTGAAATATTAACACAGTATTTGTGTCTCCATTAACATATCCATATTATGTTAAATTAACACAAAAATTTCTGTGAACCGTGATTTAGGACATGTGATATCTGTTAAATTTAACACAAATTTTTCAATTGTGTAATAATCGTATAAATAACAAGAGAGCGTATTGTAAAATTGTAGTATAGATTCGTAGTAGCAGTTGCATGTATTTTATAAAATTGATTTCTTCACGGTCCATCTTAATTTTATGATGTTTTTATAAACGTCGCCCTTTTTGTTCGACGCGATAACGCGTTAACAAAAATCATTCGCGTTAAAAAATCGTTATCGCGTTAAAAAAGCACACTGGCAAGATTTACCCAGAATTCTTATCGTCGAATGTGTCAATCATTGCCGTACATGCAATTGTGACGTTTCCTTATGAAGGTCGTCGACTGTGCTCTTCAATTCGGCGAGAAGTTTATCGGCAGGATCCGGCTGCGGCGATAATTTATTCACGATCTCGCGCACTTTTTCGCACGGCATATCTCGATGATGGTCCTCGGCTATGCACAGATTGTAAGCCATCAAGGCCGGAATAGATCGTTCCATCGTAGTGATCTTGTCCCGAAGGTCTCTGTGGCGGCCGATCAAGTCGCATCGACGTTCCTCGATCTCTGATGCGACGTTCGCCAAAGGCGAATCAAGAGTTTTATCTATTTGAAAAGTGCTAGTTTTATTAATTAAATGCTCAACTGAACTCTTCAGCACTTATATTTTTTCTTTCTCTGTTTTGGATTATTTATCCTTTTATTTGCATTATTTGTATCCTTTGAAATAAAATATAAACAGGTTACTCACTGATTTTGGCCGACATTTCGATGAATCTGATTATATTCCAAAATATCAAATAGATGATAAAATTGTTGAGATTCACGAGTTATTTTACTTGAAATTTTTAAATTAGAATACAAAAAAATAGGAATATGGGATCCTCGTCGGAGAACGGATGACAGTTTCGAGTGGAGAATTGTACAGTTTCATAGGCGTCCTTGAAAATTTGATATTTGATAGTCGTGAATTGTCGAAGTAAATCTGGGGATCGATCTTTACGAATCGATTGAAAATGTAAGAAACAAAAGAAATTTGTGACACATCCGTCAGTCAAATTCTCTTCCTGGCGTTTTATTTTTTTTTCAGCCTATCAGTCGTAGTTAGAAATATTACGATGCTTCGAACGAAATACAGAACAAACGTTTATTGATCGGTATCGATTATCATTTTGCAAGCCAAGGTCGAAAGATTATCGCGACAAATTAAAATCTGGAGCACGCAACACCGTGTCAGGCGAGTCACGATGTTGTTGTCAACAGCAATCAAGTTTTGCAATATAATGAAGAGTACGAATGTGATTAAGGCTTTTCTCAATGATCATAAGATGACTCGTGCTTTTTGCGTCATGATCCATCGATAAATTTTGCGACTCCAATTTACACAACGTTTCATATTTTAATTACTAATGCTAACTTTGCTATATTTATGCGCACATATTTTTCTTATGAAAAAATTACAAACATTTCAATCTCTCACTCAAAACGATTAATTATGTAAAAGGACAGTCTATATTTGGTCCCGCTATAAATGTTAAGCGAGTAGAAAATGTTATCTTAGGGAAAAAAATAAATAAATTCGTGCAGAAAATTAGACGAGTCGACGCGCCGGGACGTGGACGATGACGGCTTCTCTTTGGTAACCGTGACCAGCATTTCCCTTCAAGAAAGCACCGGCAGTACCTTCGCGGAATCCGTCTACTCGAATTGGGAAGAGAAATTCGCGTGTCGCGCATTACAGAGGCGAGGTCGCACCTTCAACTACCGAAGAAGGAAGCTGTACGTCGGCGATGGGATCTTTAGCGCACCGGCTGGCATCTGTCCGCGTAGTATCACCTCATCGATCATTCGTCGTAATACAGGTTTCATTGTTAAATCACGGATAAAAGACGGAAGTTGTTATTTTGTAAATCTTGAGCTGTCGATTAATTATTTTTCTCTCTCGAAAAATAACAGCCCTGCCAAAATTTGATGGATATTTTATAATGGTTTTATAATAATGAAATTTTATCCTATCAAATGTATATTAATATCTTGTGTGTCCGCAGAACTACTTTTTACGCAAATGTATTCTTTCTACACAGTTGAAAAACTTCTGTTAAATTTGACAAATATTATATGTCCCAAATGGTCCACAGAATTTTTGTGTTAATTTAACATAATATATAGATATGTTAAATGAAGACACAAACTGTGTGTTAATTAACAGTACTGTGTTAATATTTTAACACAAAATAAATGCAAAACTTCAAGTAATTTAAAATAAATTTGTGTAAAATTAACATAGTTTTAATGTAAAAATTAACTAAAATATGTTAATTTTAGATTTTATTATTCCCACTTATATTATAAAATAAAAAGTCAATATTTTCGTCTAACATATTTATTGTGTAAAATTAAAAATAGATGCAGAGTGTGTCATTTTTACATCTTTTTTCAGTTGTTATAATAATTTAACATTTAAGTTTAATTAACATAACAGTAATATGTTAAATTAATACATAAATATGTTAATATAAAAATATAATATTTAGTACAAAAATTTTAACGGAGACCATTTTTAACAAGACGCAAAATTTTCCTACTGTGTATAAATATATATGCATAATATATGCATTTATATAAGATTTCTGATAATTGAGATGAAATATGTATTATTGTTTTGTAAGTGAAGACAGAAAAATAGTAGAAGAAAATATTTGTATAAGAAACGTACAGATATATTAACTTCCTACACTGAAAAACATATTTGTGTAAAATTACATGATTATGCTGAGTTTTTTTTTGATCTAGCATACTCATTCAATATTGCTACTCATATGGAAGATTACATAAATTATGGTATATATAATTTCATATGAAATACATTCTTATATATTTTCAAGATTAAAAATATTCCACTGAACATGGAATTACACATTGGAAATTTTAGTAATGTATAAATGCTATAAAATAATCTTATAAATAAAATGAATAAATGCTTATAAAATAAAGTTCTAATAAAGTAAACATACTAAATTAAAATTACAAATGATTTTTGTATAAAAATAATAACTTAATCTATATATTTTACATATATTTTTACATTAATATGTATTTTCACTTAAAAAATATGGAAAAATATTACAATAATAATTAAGTAATTTTTCCAGTTTTGTACAAGTAATTTCCATGTGATAGTACATGAATTGTTTTCTGTGTATGATCATATTCAGTGTGATATATTTCAGTGTATACTACTTTTGTTGCAGATGCATCTGCAATTAGAATTGTATTTTTTTAAATGCAATTATACATTTTTTGCATAATTAATTCTGCATATAAAAATACTATATGTAAAGTCATCGAAAAATTATATTATACTTTATAAGATATATTCTTGATGATTCATTCTTTTAAGTCATCCTTTGAAAGGACATCTAATATCTTATAAAATGATTTGACATAAAAGTATATCAGTTTGATAATTCAGTCTAATTATATACTAGAAGGCCAATGTCGTGTTATTTTTATTACATATCGATATAGTCGTAAAATCTTATATTCTATTTCTTGCGATTATAAATTATGCGATAAAATAAAAATTAATAAATGAAATGACTTCTAATTTTATTAAGGACAAAAAAATAAAATTTTTTACACTTTTTTCTTTACAGGGGATTCTAGACTTGTATTTATCTGGCCGCAAAAACCAGTAAGAGCCGACTGTCGAATATTCTCGCACCTTTGTTGCGAAGTGCCCTGATCGGCCTATTGTTCGTAGATGCTCTTCATCTGTGGCCCGGAGAATTTTTACCCACGTCGCTACCATCAAATATGCTAATCTCCTTACCGCCTGTCAAGTGCAACGTTATCGAACCACGTTGGTTCGATAATAACTGAGTTGCTACCGATTACGTCATTCTTTATTACAAACACTTATATATTCCCTAATCACGATTTTGTCACGATTTTTCATGAAATATATACAATGTTTTCAATAAAACATTAATCAATATATATTATTTCATTGCGTAAACTTGTTTGATTTCTTAAATTGATTTATATGGCGGGAAAGAAATTTAACAACAAGGAAACTCCAGATAGGAAGTTTAACGAAAAACGAGTCCGTTGTCGCAATGTATATTTAGACTATAATTCGACATCATCCAGCAAAAACAGTTTCATACTGACAATAAGAGATACCGGACTTCATCATCATAACGAAAGGATGAATTAAAATCAGTGGTATGTACTTATTTCATAATTTAGCCATACTATCAGATTTTACAACTATACTTACATATAATATTGCAACAACACGAAGAGACATTTACTTTCTCATATATTAGACTTATAATCATTAAATGGAAATTATATAATTGTATTCTTACATATCTTCTTTCATACGTAATGCTTTTTTGCATCCTAATGCTTTTTTGCATCCTAATGCTTTTTTGTCCATTTGTTTGCAATGATTTGCAATTTTTCCTTTCTTTATCAATTATACAAATATTTTTCTCACACTGTTATCCAAAATGTTTATACGGAAATTGCGTGTTTCGATGAATTTAGTTATATACATGGACATGTATATAATAATTTGTAATTTCTACATATATTTTAATGTATATATTAAACTGGAAGATTAATTACCGGCTGTAAAAAATTCAATTTTCTTACGAGAATAAACCAAGGATAAAATAATTATAAAGTATAATTAACCGGTTTAGCAGGAAACATTCATGATTAAAAAGATACATAAGGATATGAGATCGTAATAATAAAAATATGTACATTATGTTCTTATATAATATATGGTATATATACGCGAAATGGTAGAGATTACTTCACATTGTCTAATATAATAAGATGGAATTCACTATGGTATGTATGTATGTATATTTATTATTGTATCTTCTAAACATGAGCATTTTTATTATTATATGTACATATAAACGGTGTTTATATAGGTACTATATGTGTATGTATATGTGTCGGTCTATCTCGTGCATCGTTATAAAAGTCAGTTCACGATACAATCTTTTTGCAAAACGTCGAGACATTTCTCGCAAGAAGAACTCAGATAAGATAATTAAATGATTCAGTCTCATTTGTTACATTGTGTTAGTATTTATATTTTGCAAACTCGAGTAATGCAAAACGAATAAGAAATTTGCAGTCATTCGCAATTAAATTTTGAATAAGTATGTAGATTTTATAGAACTTTTGTTTTAATAAAGATTTTTCTTTTTGAGAAAGAAAATAATTTATTTTTTTCTTTTTTTCTCAGCCATATCTTATATCGTATTTAATTATATATTATATTATATATTAAATAATAAAATCTAATAAAAAATAAAATATGATAAAATTGTGATATAGTGTGTATATATATGTATATAATTAGTGGTGAAGTAGTGATAATATATATGTATAGTGTTAATTAGCTTGGTGAAATGTTTTTAATATTAAATAACTTCTCGATAAATCGAAATCTTGCATTTTTCTTCGTGTAGTTAAAATTGTAGTTAAAACTTTTTGCGTTAATTTTCTATCTCCGATTATCTTAATCGAACGATTAAATTTAAGAATTGCCAAATGCAAATCACAGATCTTATTATAAATTTAGATAAAGTCGATCAGTTTTAAATTGGCAATTTTTAAATTTAATCATCTGATTAAGTTAATCTGAAAAAGTTAAGAGACAGTAAAAATGGCCCTTTTACTTTGTATTTTTTCAAAGCACAAAGTAATTTGCGTAAAGTTAAAATGTGATTTAATAAAAAATTTGAAGTATGAAGAAATATATTTTACGATGAAATCATTGTTCCTTTTCTCGATTTTTTAAACCGTATTATATTAAGTATAGCAAGTAATTTTTTGAGAACAGAATTAATTGTTTTTTAAAATTTTGCAATTAATATTTTCCGAAATTCATCGTTTTAATTTTAAACAGTAATAATGAAAATAATGTGATGACATTATTGTGCAAATATGTTTGACCAAAGATTAAAAATTCAATATTAGTTCATTTGTAAACGCTTATTGAAGTGCAAGTTTTATATTAATTTATGCATTTATTTTTGATAACTCAAACTATATTTAATATATTCACAGGCTAACAAAAATGGACGTAATTTTCTTGACATTGTGTGCTGTGATCGTTGTTTTAATAATCCCTATAATTACATCGATAGTGTATCATCAATATGTTCTTCGACGAAAATTGAAAAATATTCCTCAATGTGGTAGATTTCCTTTTGGCGTGGCATTTGAAATGATAAAGCTGACAGAATACAATAAACAATTTTGTGAATATGACATTGCTATATATTTTGACAAATATCATATTTATATACTTATAGCAAAAAAATTTAAATAAAAATTCATTACTTTAAATTTATGTTATTTCTTATATTTAAAAACAGTATAATAATGAATAAATGTTTGTGCCACAGAACGCGTACAATGGTTTGTACAACGTATGCTACATTTAAAGAAGGAATTTTCATACATTGGATTGGCATGCAACCATTGATTAATCTCTATAAACCTGAATTTTTAGAGGTAAGAATGAAAAGAATTGAAAGAATCTTACTAATAAAAAGTATCGGTTATATATATATATATATATATATATATAATATATATATATATATATTAAACCAAATTTTTATAAACTTATTATTAAACATTATTTTATTATTATTAAAAATGTAAATATTAAAAAAATTCTCAATGTAATTACACGAAGAGAAAGAATTTTGTTTTAGTTATATACAATTTGCAATATATGAGAAAAACGACTAAATTTGCTATTATATAACTACAAATAATATATTATTAATTAATAATATATAATTAATTTATATTTCTATAAATAAATTTATTTGTAGAAATATAAAAAAATTTGCTGTAAAGTAAAATAGTTATATTCTATTCATATTAAATTTAATTCCTATTATTCTTAATTATGCTTCTTGCGATTTGTTTTTGATAATTTTAGACTAGAAATAAGTAATTTATTATTTTAGCAAAATAATTTTGTGTTTGTATGTTGCGCCAGTAAAATTATTTTTAGCAAGGAAGATTATATTCCGAACAAATATTTTCACTGTTTATATAATAATCGATCTAAATTTGTTATGAAATATGAACTATTTGCCGAGTCTGTAATCTTTTTCTACTTATTGACAAAAAAGTTCAAGCGATGAACTTATATTATATGCAGATAAACAGTAATTCAGATATGTTGAAGCTCTCTATAATAAAAAGAAGATATTATTCAGATTAAACGGTAATATTTGTGTCTATTATATTTTATTTGCGTTATCAGAAAAAAACGGAATGGCCAAATTTCACTTTCCAAGTAAATTTGGTGATCTAATTAATTATGGATTTCATCTTTAGAATATAAAATGTTCCGTATAAACGATGCACCAGAAATTAAAACAAAAAAAAATTAGTTGAAAATATAGATTTTTGTGTACAAAGTTCTATTTCGAAAAAACTGAAAATTTAGAAAAAATATTTATATAGTAAATATGATAAATTATTACACGCATGGTTGTATTATCTTTTAAATTCATTTTTACAGATTATTTTGCCCAGCACTGTAAATATCGAGAAAGGCCAACCCTATGAAATGCTTCATTCTTGGTTAGGCAAAGGACTTCTCACTTCTACAGGTAAATAAACTCTTTCACACTGAAAAAATGTGTTGGATTAACAAAATTCTGTTCGGAAATGGACGAAACGGAATTCTGGTTGAATCTACCAGAATTCCTTTTAATGCAACAAATATCTTGTTTGCACAAACAAACTGATTTGTTGTACAAACAAGATGCTTGTTGTATTAAAAGGAATTCTGGTAGATTCAACCAGTAATTCCGTTCATCCATTTTATTCGAACAGAATTTTTGTTAATCCAACAAAATTTTTTTTCCAGTGTCATGTCGCTATTTATTGTATTAAAGATGAAAACTAATTGATTTTACATTTGCTATTAAATTCATGGTATCAGTAATAAATATCATATAAATTGGAGCGCTAAAACATTATTTTTAAAAATAAGTTATTTGTCAAACTCTTCTTACCTACATTGCAAATATTCAATAGTAACAAAACAAATTAAAAGCAATAAAAAAGTGAGATATATAGGAACAATAATGCTTTTGAGAATTTTATTTATATTGTTTATGCGCACTTAAATATGCGCTCATATATTTTTTATGATATGTTTAGTACTATATAAATATATTTATCGCTGATTAATATTTTGATTATTTCAGGAAAACAATGGTTCCATGATAGAAAACTCATAGGACCAACGTTCCATTTTAGTATATTAGATCAATTTGCCATTGTAATGTCTGAAAAAGCAGAGATCCTGACAAAATGTCTCGAAAGGGAAATAGCAAAGAATCCAGAAAAAGCTATCAATATTTTTCCATTACTAACAATGTTGCTCTCGATGTTATATGTGGTAATAAATAATATATTATTAATAATAATAATAATATCTTTTGGAAAAAAAAGTATATATAATTAACACATTATATTTTATGCTGCAGCAACAAACTGTGTCAATTATAATACGGATCATAAAAAGATTTGTCAAGAGTACTAAATTTAAATTTTGCTGAATTGCGGGACAAGTTCTTTCGTTATGATAATAAATTGAATGCTTATATAACTTATTATGTTATCAAAGCAATGCGGTTAAAATATTTGCTGAAAAAATAAATTATTTTATGTTAACATTCATGCTTTTACAATCAAATTTAACCAACACATAAGGTCTTTCTTTCTGTCGCGAAAATAAGTTTTATAAAAAAAATAATTGATTATTTATTGTATTGAATGCCATTCATTCTCATGAAACAAAGTTTATTAAATATGTAGTGGCAATATAATGGTTTTGCTGCAGCAGCAAAATTCTTTCTTGTATGTGAAATCAGTAATCACGGATTATAAAATATCAGTATAATTTTGATGAGCTTGATTTCCGATGTTGTATATGTAAACTGACACGAAAAAGTGAATCTTATATCACGTTTTGTTAGTTGCGAATATAAGGCTTATTTTCTCTACATAATAAATCAAATAGAACAAATTTGATAAATTAATCTCTGTGTATAATAAAATTAATTATTCGGCTCTATATTATTTATGAAAATTATAAGTATCAATTTTTTTTCTAGAATTTATAAACAGAGTAACATATTTTGATCAGAGATTATTAAAATTATTATTTTGCAGAAACGGCAATGGGCGGGGACGTACGTGCTCAAGAAGTTTGAAACCAAATATACCAAAACAATACTAGGTGTGAAAAATATGAGTTATATTATTTTATTAGTAATAGAATATATAGTTAATATATATATATATATATATATATATATATATATATAATATAATATATAGTATCGATAAGATATTTTAAGAATTAACAGTAAATTTTGTGTGATAATTATTA